TCTGGACGTAAGAACATTGAAAAGAATAAAAAATAGTTGGTTTAACGTACTTTACTGCTTCCCTAGATTTCCCCTGGAGATCGTTAAGAGTAGTACTTATCCCTACTTTCTTTAGCCGACAAATAGCAAATTAAAGGTACTTACGTTATATGCAACTTACTGGTTAGTTACATGGCCAACAAATATCAAGATTAAATCTCGGAAACTCATTAAATGGGATCGTGTGAATACTATCAGACTTACTACAATTCTCTCTGGATATTTGTGTATAACAGCGCATGCAGAAAAAGTGTTTATTCCATTTACTACTCATTGCAGAAGTTATGGAAACTTGAAGGAAAAATAAATTATTAAGTATTTTCACTGTGACTGCGCGTTTTTGGGCTATAGATTATGATGGGTTTTCAAGGAAGTACTTTTTTGGCAATTTATTAGACTGTACATCCTTAAAGACGGGCGATTTGTAAAATTATCAAAATTTTACTGAATTAATTTTTTTTTATATTTCCTAAGCTTCCTTGCGAGAAATGTGGTAGCCGAAAAATCACTAATTGTGATCAATGGAAAGTTATCTACTGGCCCGCCACTGCAACCAACTAACCAACTGAATATTATAATAGGGTCAATAGAAAATGATGACGTTGGGATTAAGAATAATTTTTGAAGATAATGTAACTATAATATGACAAGATTTATTGGTCAAAATCTCACATCACTAGGCTGTATATTTCACTCTAATGGAACTTGTAAGTTTTGTAAAGAAGGAAATAACATCCGAAGCCGGTATTGGAAGCTTTCTTGTCACTGATGCACGAATTCAACAGTTTTTTAGATCAAAATGTGTATAGCATAAAAAAGGAATCAAAAAATATAATCGATAATACAATCGAATCGAATTGGAAAAGAAACACTCTAAAAATATTATTAAGTAAACAATGCATTTGGTTTCTGGAACAACAGTGCGTATGAGTGACATATTATATTTTGCCGTGCAGATTTCAGTGAAAAACAATTTAAAATATTAAACTCAATGTATCTTACGATGAAGATATTCACTAGAACTGTAAGTTGATTTTGTGTAAATTTTTCTTATTTGAAGGTTGTAGTTTTCAATAAAAAAAACTTGCGAGTGTGACTGCAGGAGAAGTAAAAGAATCCTTAATTAGCTCACTGCAGTTTTATGTTAAACAATTCGCTTTTGAGAATTTCTTATACGAAAATTGATGCATAAAATCGTTTCAATTTCTTTTCTTTGTTTTGTATTTTATCTCGACACAATGCAAGAAATTAAAAAGTTTCAAAAATGCAAGCAGAGCAGAAAATCAAACAAAGTGGCAGCTCCGCTGCAGGATTTTCTGCTGTTGTTGTAGATTTTTTTAAGTTTTCGGTTATGCACTCACGAAATGAAGTCAAGAAATGCTGAAATACAAAAATCCGAGGCGCATGCAAATGTAAGAGTGCATGTAGGTAAGTAAATAAGGCGGACTACTATGCTATACTCCAATACTCCATATGCAGGATAACTGTAGGATAACTACAGCAGATGAGAGATGTTTATTATGCATGCGACAGCATTTTTGAAAAGCACGCGTACATGAACGCCTCAAGGCATACACAAAAGACAACGTTCCCGGAAAAAATTCGGTGAGCTGGTGAGCTGGTGAGTTGGTGAGCTACGAAGAAAGCACAAATAACAAGAAAATTACTTTAAATTAAATCACAGGATTTTTTTTCATATTTACGTAAAATTGCAATTAAAGGATTTCCGGAAAATTGAAAAACTTTAACTAAAATGTAAATAAAGTTGAATTTCTATAAGAATTTTGAAAGACTTGTTAAAAAGAAAGTTTTAAATAAAATATATTTTAATTAATATGCAAAAATGCAGACAGAGCAAAATTCACTTTATAATTCAAAACGAAACTTTTTGCTTCAGTTACTACAGACAAAAAAAGATACTTTTATGCAAAGTACAACTGCGAAATAAGCAAACTCAGATGATGGAGTATCTATCCTAAATGAAATCAAGCGCTTTGAATGCGCTTCTCTCGGCAATTGGAACAATTTAAAACGTTGCGTATTATCAGCACAGATCAGTAATGAGCCACTGCGACTGTGTATGTAGTTGATGTCATGTTGTTGGTTTATTGTGTTGTTGTTGCTGATGTTGCTGTTGTTGCTTTTGTTGTTGATGTTGTCTTTAGAAAATCTCATAATAATGATGCAGGTCTGTTAGTGCTTTTGTCACTTTGTTCTTTTGCGACTGCAACTGGCACTGCTGGTACGCTTTTGTGTTACCAGCAGTTGCTGTTTTGGTTCAGTTTGATGATGCTGATTATGTTGCGTTATTGTGACACGCTTTGGACAATGTTGCACTTTCATATTAACATGCAACAAACATACTTGGTTTGTGTGTACATCATTTTTTCTTCATTCATTCATTCATTCATTCACTTATTCATGCATGCATAAATGCGATGCAACTTTTATGTTCATATTTTCACAAAATAACGTTGGCTTAATCCTGCTCTGCAAATTCCCATACATTAAAACTGAACAGCGCAACATGAATGCACCCGCATTGTAGGACCACTTTCTCATATCCCCCATTTTCGGTACATATGAGAACTCATACGTGTGACTTCATAATCGTGGATGTAATGTTGTGCAAATGGGCCTGTTTGTTGTAGGCATAACTCATGACATTTGGGGTCGTTCACATTTCATATTTGGAGGGCATGTTGTTGAACTTGGTACATGCGTTATTTGATTTTGGATATCAGGTTGCCTTATTTACGTTAATAACTGGCTTAAGTCTGCTCAGTAATGCAAATTAAAAATATTTGCGTGATACTAAAAGTATACTTTTAATAAAAACATATTTGTAATAAAATTCGAAACCTGTTTAATCACAATTCTTAATTATTTTCTTTTTTTTATTATCATTTAGTTATTATTAGCATGAGGTAACAAAACATAATCAAAATCAGATATAAAAGATACGGTTTGAAAAGTGTTTTCAACTCCAATTTATATGAAGTTAGGTATCCTATATAAGTATGATATTTTCCCTAAATTTAGAGCTTAACATTACTTATATAAGTCGTGATTGATTTTGCGAAACTGTTCATTGATCTTTTGGATCTAACTGCAAAGTATCATCCTACCATTTTCTAGTTACATCTAGTCCTTATTATCTTTATTGAGTTTTACTTTAAGTGCAAAGAACGTAAAGCCTAAAGCACTTTTTTTTTGACTTACACTAATGCAAAACTTACCAGGAATAACAATAACTACATTCACATATCTCATGCCATCTCATCTATATACGTGAATCTCGTTTTAGATTTATTACCACTTACATCAATCGCTTTCAATTTAGCATAGCTCTAGTGTCGCTATGCTTCCTAACTCGTCTGACTCTATTTGATTAAAATTTGTAGTATCTTCTCCTCTCATCATTCATTTTTGTTAATTTGTTTTTTTTGATCGTAGTCATAGAGTTGGTATCTAATAATCCTCCTATGATTCTAACAATTCACTAACATCTACTTTTGTCCTTGATTTTTGAAATAATTTTGTCAACTGTTTAATCTTCATAGGCTAATGGCTGAACTCTTTAAAAAAGTCACGTAGAGTAACTTACGGACAATTCAGCCTGAAAAGTAATGAAATAAATGAGTTAAGAAACATAAACACGGAATTATCATAGATCAGGAGACAATTCTACTCATAGTATTGGTATAAAGTTTAAAATAAACTTGTCAGTCGTCTAATTCTTATATATTAATGGCTAAAGACTTAACAAATCATTCATAAAATGAGTAAATTAAATCGATTGATATTCCACATAGAGTCACTTATAGACCTGTACTGTATGTAAGTGCAGACAGAGCGGCACTATAGAGCTACTTGTGTTACCAGGGAATAAATAAGTTGAAAACATAAACAAGGAATAATCAGAGGTGAGGAGAGGTTGCTTTTTTTGCCTTTGATTACATATATAAAGTTGCCAAATATTTTCATGATCACTCAGCTAAAGGCGTTATAAATAATTCTTAAAAATATATGTTTATAGGATAGAAATTAATTATATGAAATTTTGATGGTTTTGACTTCCCGACAATATAGTAATTGGAAAAAATAAAAACGGAATTATCAGTGATGTGGAAAGAATATTGAGGGAAAAATATATGCTATCGAGAGTTAAGAAGATGTTGGAGTAGTTTAGGTGGATTAATATTAAAACTTGCCCCAATTCAAATACAAGAACTTTGCCACCAATGGGGCTAAAGTTTATATGTGCCTTAGGAAAAAAAGATGACTGTAAATCGGGAGCGATAAATCTGCAACCAGGGCACTCTTTAGAAATATCTATATGTGACAAGTAGATGTTTAGAAAGTGGAAGTCTAATTTCTTCCCTAACGTGTTTAGGAGATTGCGACTGAGAATCGGTAAGCAGTACAAACGTGATATGGAAGAAGTCTTAATTTCGATTTGAAAAACGAATCGTTAGCTTCAAGTATATGGAATTGGCTGTTTCTGTACTGATTATAACATCAGTTATTTGCTTTGGATATTTGCTTTAGTTTGCTTCTCTACAATAAACCTAATTATGGAATATATTTTATGATATACATATTAATTATTAGTTTACAAAAAATATTAATTTAAGTATATAAGATAATTTCTCTTATTCCCTTTATCATTAGTTACATTTTGCAAACATTTTCTTGACTTAAAACATAAAATTTGGATTTCACTTTACTGCCTTAAAAGAATAGCTCAACGGAGTGTCCATATAAATTTACAACAACAACTGTTTAAGCAGAGATTCGTCATTAAAACATTAACACTTGCCTCGTTTTGACTTTTATTTACTTTGTCAGCAGTGATAAAGTTTGTTTAGCGAATGCTTCTACAAAAATCCCTGACCCCACTGCATTCATATGCCTTCAACAATGTTTAGCATTGTGTTAGTGTTAGTGTTAGTACTCACCTCTTATTATATACAGGATCAGTACAGCCTTAAAAAGGCTGAGTAAATCCATTTTTTATGAGCTCTAATGTTTTCCATTACATTTTTTATGTATGATTTTGATTTTTTTTAAATTTGTTTTGTTGTTGTTATTTTCGTTATTTCAGGCTTCAGTGCTGCTGTTGCTACTTTTGTTACTTCTGCTCCTGCTGGTACTCTCGCTTGTTTTTCGTTTTGTTTTCTTTCGTTTCGTTTGGTTTGGTTTGGTTTGGTTGTGTTTCTATTTTGATTTGTATGGTACGTGCTATTCTCCCACTCAACCTTGTGCACTTAGCTGTAGTTGCATTTGTAGTTGTTGTTTATACGTGTTTTGTATTATCTTGTGTATTGTTGTTGTTGTTGTTTTACTCGTAGATAGACAGTATCACACATTCATACACATAAAGTCAATATAAATAAGTTTCGAGTGTGTTGACTGTGTTTGTGTTTTGAAACGAATTTTAAAAGGGATATGCACTCCCCGACTTTATTGTTTTTTTTTTGTTTTTTGTTATTTGTTTTTTTTTATGTTTTTACAATACTGTATTCATAATTTCATTCGAATTTATTTGCTCCACTGTATTTTTATTTGATTCCTTTTTTTTGTTTTTGTTATTTGTTGTTTATTTTCACGCCAATTGATGTGGAAAAATTCATGCCATTGATTTATTTATCGTAATTTGAACAAAAAAACAACAACAAGCGCACATCAAGCATATCAAGCACATCGGCATCAAACCAACAAAAATTTGGTTAACGCAGTTCGTGTGTGATAAAAGCTGCCAACTTAGAACTTCACTTTTTTTTGGTTTTATTGCTTTGTATTTCTTGTATTTGTTGTTTTTGTTATTAGTTTACGGTTGAAGTAGTTTTGCATTTGACTAAAGTTGACGTTGCAATTATGTAAATTCTTCTTCTTTACTGCGATTTGTTGTTGTTATTTGTTGTTTATTTTAATTATACAGTAGCGAAGTATAAAAGTCGCTGCAGTGTAAACATGTTGTTCTTATCAAAATGGCGATAAAAGGTTAAGATAATTCGAAGAGTTTTAATCAATGCAGACACAATGGAGTGAGGTATCTGAAATTAAACGAAAACAAATGAAATTTGAATTTGAAACACTATTTTGGCTTATACTATGGCTTATAAAAGTAACGTAAAATCGTTATACAAAATCATTTTAAAATTAATAAAATTAAAATATAAAAAAAAATATTATCCAAAAATTTAATGTCTTTTAAGAGTTCTTTAAATATCTCAGCTTAGTTTGCGCTTAAAGCATGTTTAGAAGTGTTATTAAAAAATTAATTAAACACCGCCTTACATCAAACTCATATGTACATGATCCATTGAAATCAGTAATACAAAATCAATATTTTTGAAATATATATTTCGGAATTTTATTCATTTGATATGAAATCTCATTTGATATGAGTTACACATTTAATTAATTTTAATAAATACTTTTAAAACAAAATATAAAACAAAAAGAAATATTTTTTTAATTGAACTTAATGATTAATTAAAATAATTATTTAGTTACAAATAAAAATATTAAATATTTTTGTTGTATATTTTTTACACATTTTTAAACTTAATTAAAGTAAATTTAGAGTATATATGTACAATATTTCTACAATATTTGATTATATTATCTTTATATTGCAAAAATTAACAAAGCCTGATATATGTGGCCATATAAAAACTCGTTCAAAATTTAAATACTTTGAGAATTTCAATAAATCAATTGATTTATGAGGGCTTCAATTGTATTGTATTTGCGAAAGAACACAATTCCTAGATACTTAAGTTTATTATCGAGCTTGATGAGTGTTATCTCTATCTAATTACGTCTGCTAGTTCTTTTGCCGCACAACTTCAAACTTTATGAGTTACGACTACAAGATACATTGCTTAAAGCTGGAAAGATTTGATGAAAAGATATCACTGCATATATATAAATAAATATATACTGCAAATGGTAAATAAAAATAATTAACTATATTGTATGATAATAGCTGATTGTCATAATTGGTTATGAATCAAAATTCTGGTTTACAAATAGTAACATCTTTGAAATAAGATTAAAACATGAAAAATATTAGGAGATAACATCGAGAGGAAAATCGTGGGAACGTTTATGGTTTTTCTCTTTAGTGGAATCATTGTAGGAATAATTATTTCCATAACGCAATTCAAAAGGACATTGTTTTCGAAGAATACTGTCTCTTTGTTGTTGTATCCAGTATACAACGAGTACCACTTGCTATATGTAGCTTGTTGTCAGTCAGGTTATATTAAATTACATAGTTCGTTAGTCATATAAACCTGTAAACTACATAATAATAAATAGCAATAATATAATAAAGGGAAATATTTACATGCCACTTCAGCATGTCTAAATAATAAATAAATTCTGTGGTTATTTAGTATGATACCGGGAGGGGATAAAATTGAAAAGGTAAGAACTAAGGTATATGGAGCTTTGAACTCTGACCTAAATCTGAAGCGAAGAATATAAAAAATAATAATAATAATAAGAGCAGGCTTCGCATCACTCAAATATTGCTAAAGTATAACAACAGCAAATAAAGTTACATTGTATTCACCCTCGTTCGTTTGTCATTTACTCGTCGTATATAGAATACAAACGAATACAATCCAAAATGTGTGTGTGTGTGTGTGTTTTGTTCCTTTTTCTGTTTTTTTGGTTTACGCTAAACCAACTTTAACCCCTTTTTTGTTTGCAACTTTTTTTTCTGCTGCTTACTTATGATACTTAACATCGCAGTCGTTTTCGATCAACATGTCAGCAGTCATATTAATCATGCCATGTCAACAGCAACGAGTAACGAGTAGCAAGTAACGAGAATTGTACGGGTTCAAATCAGAGTGAAGAGATGACAACAACAACAACAACAACAGCAGCAACAATACCAACGACCGTAACAGCAGCAATGCCAACAACAACAAAAATAACTTTAAAACCAGCATAAAAAATACAATACTTACGTATAAATCGTACACTTCCCGCTATCTCCATTCTCTCTTCTGTTAAGGAAACGTATTTGCATTGACAAAAGCACAAATATGCAAGTAGACAGTCAGTCATTTCATCATTTCGTCAGTTTGTGAGTTTGTCACTAGCATTCGCATTCGCATTCATCTGTGCTGTATGAAAATATGATTGCAGCATCATAAACTGTGAGAATATTGAGTTTAAAAGTTAATGCCAAAGCAAGAAGATAGGACATAAAGGATATACACCGTACTGACAGTACTAGAAAAATCAGTCATTCTATCAAAATTATGAGTAACTATTTTAACATAAAAAACCAATTTATGAGTCAATAAGATAGTAATAGATGGACATATAGTTCCTATAAGCAATTGGAGACGCTTACTTAGACTGAGAGTAGAGAATACAAAATATGACAATCAGAATATTAGTTAGTTAGAGGGCCATTATAGACACACATAAGTCGTCAATGGCTTGCTGGCGCCAGTTGGTAGTACCAAGTGCATTTATATCGTTAGTCACTTGGTTATTCTGACAATGATACTGACGTCTTCTACAACGTTCTTTAACAGCAAATACTGAATGAAACACTTTCTTTCATTTGTACAATATTACCAACCCAGCGAACCCGCCGAATTATGCTGATCGTTCCATCCAATTCGATAATCGTTACTGATAATCGCTCGGGTGTTATGTTCAACAATATATATATCATAACTATACGCAAGCAGCGTATAGTTTTTTTTTTCATTTTGTAGGCATCCAATTATGTGTGTTGTAGGTCAGTGATATAAAAAATGTTCATCAAGTTGTAGTTCTAATGCATTTAATATGCTTACTTATAAAATGTAGCACATCAAAATCATTGCTGCTCTGCTTCAGCATGAATGCGTTTAGAAAAGCTGAAGGGAAACATCATGGATAACGGATATGTGCTGATATATTCGCCTCGTCTCGCCTCACATTTTATATTCCCGTCCTCGTATCTGAGAAAAATGACTGAAAAATTTTTATGATGAAAAAATTGTTGCAGCGATAATTTTTACTACAAATTGGGGTACGAAAATAGGGCGTTGCTGTTGTAAGTTTTTCAAGTGGAGCTGCTAACGTTCTAGTGGAATATTAAATAAATATCTCGTTGCATATGCACTCTCGTATATTTGCAATCATAATGCTCGTATTTAGTTAAATAGGCACAATATGCCTTTATGGATTAAAACTTGTCATTCTTTTTATTTTTTAAGCCAGGTTCACTGAACTGCAACCAATAAGTCAACAGCCATATAAAGCTGTTTTAGGGAATATAAAGAAATAATAATTAAATTTTTAAAACAAATTTTATATACACAGTTTTTTACTGTGAACAATAAAAAACCACTAAAAGTGTTTAATATTTTATTTAATTTATTTAATGTTGATTGAAAATATCGCCTGGTACTGGCTTTTAACTGCACAAAGATGTTAAACGACAGGCATCGTACATATGTAATATAACAAACGAATGAAAGGAGAACTCATATTGTGACTAATAAATGTATTTGTTATATATTAATGTAACAAACCTAATTCATTTTTCTTCATCTGCACTTTTCACAGTAGAAATAATAATCACATCGTTTCACTTAGTCTCTCCATTTTCAAACATTGTATCTTATAGTCGTAAGTCATATAATTGTGTTGTATAAAAATCAGTTGATATCATTAAATATAGATAGCATCCATTTAGCTCGTCCATAAGCTAAGCTTAAATACATTGCAGTATCACTCATTCCCATCATAATTCTATCTTTCATTAATCCCAGGTTGTACAGAAAACTACTTTTCGAGATATCCAATTCAAAAACGATTTACGTAGGCATAATTTATTAGCCGTTTAAGCATTTTCAATTTAATCCAATATAAGCGCGATGAATGGAAGGCTTGCGCACTCGTCAAAAAAAAGACCTCCTTAAGTCTTTCTATTCTCACATAGAACTTCACTTATAGAGTTCTTTATTAACTTTACTGACTGGGAAGGTTCTTGCTGTACAAAACTCCCAAACTATTCAGACAAGAAGAGTATATTATTTAAATCTGAACACATCAGATTTCAAAACAATGACTACATTTCGAGAACCACTTAATGCAGACTATAAATATATATATGGAAGACACAAAAACAATATTACATATACGTAGAGAAAGTTCTGCTCTTATATAATATAGGAGAAAAATTTTCCATAAGGAATTGATCCACGAATTAGTGGGGTCATACTGCGATCTAGAAAAATTAAGACGTTTCTAGATACAGCTGAAGTGAAATGAAGTAGTGTGGTAATTATGGATAGGACACGATAAAATAATTCATCAACGAATGCATTGTTATAAACAGCAAATGTTTATTTCAATCAGAAGTCAACTTTGATTCAACATTTCCTTTAACTTTTTATAAAAACCACTATACTACACAAAAGAATAAATCGCTTTTAATCTACTTATGCAGTAGAATGGTTCATTTAAGTCCATTAAAGACTTTAAGGCTTAAGTCAGAGTAAAACTAACTCGTTAAGCGGTATGCCCCGAATCCCTCGTGAGCTTTAATTGTCTACAACAAGTGAAACTAATTACAATTGCATTTCAGTGTTTTCGATTTCATGTTGACAAGTTCAAAAGTTTCTCGATTACATGGAAGGAGCATTTAAAATTTAAAAGCAAGCATATCAGTGCCCCAAATAAGCACTTTTGAAAGCAAACTTTAACAAATTCAATTTGAAATTCGAGTAAAGTTTTGCGAAAAAAAATTGAAAACAAATCAGAGTCTACGGTAAACTGAATTTTAATGCAAAATTTAATTTTAGGAAAAATAATTTTCTTTAAGAAAAATTCAAGTTCAGTTTTTGAATAAAATATGCTTTGTCAGCAACTGTAACACTTCATTCGACTCCACTTCACTTCACTCCACTCCACTCCATCTCACATCATTTTGACGACCTCATGTAGTAGAAGAAAAGTCATAAGCATCCACATATCAAA